GTAACCATTCAGATGTTAGAACTTGATGAACCCCGTTTAAATATATTACAGGATATCTATCAATCCTCCCAGATTACAAATACTTCTATCTGATCAGTGCTAACTAGCACGAAATGATCAATTATAGTTTCTTACCGAGTATATTTTCTCTTTTGTATAGGAAACTAAATCTCAATTAATTTATTTGTATTGATCGTTTCAATCTTCCCATTGCTGTATACCACTGTAATTGATCAGTCTCTTATTAACATGTATACATCCTGTAAGGATAGCCTCAAGTCACAAAGATGCATGATAGCTAACAATCTAATTCAAGGTGCATGTTTCACTCTACTCGAAACTCATCATTTGGATATTCACTCTGAAATATAGTTACCTATAGGTGACGAGTCCTAAAATAGGACAAATTCAACTGCTAGCCATCATCTATCTTTGTTTATAAACTTGTTTATATACTTGAATGTTTCAAAGTCCCATATATTTAAATTATTTCATTTGGTATCATCCTACTTCAATGTATTCAATGGTTCAACATAATTGAAAATTGTTTTCATAATATGCCCAGATTAAAAATATAGTTCATTGAAGACAGAAATTGAAGCTGATAATTTAAAGTTTAGATATATACTACTTATGAGTAGTTTATTTCTTTCAGATATTTTATACAATATAATCAGCTTTTTGTAGCTAGATATTAGCTTAAATTCAATGTGGCGAAACTATAATTTATGGACAAATTAATTAGATTTAAGGTAATAGGTCTTAGATTTCAGATTGAAATTCACTCACCTATTTGACCAAATAGCATCTTGGCATTTTGGCTTATGTCAGTTCGTGATGAAAAACTGTAAATCGAATTCCTAACACTGACCATCAACTGTGAATCATAATCCATATTCTCCAAACTGCTTTATAACCCTTATTTAGCCATAGTAAGTAAACAGACACACTCATGGTCACTTTGGCGTTGCTCAAAAGGCCGTTTATAAATAATAGTCTTACCCTCGATGTCAAGAACAAATAGTTTAAGATACATGATGGAACGGAAAAGGGATATATAATTTTTCGAAAGATTAGGATGTATTATTGAGATACAACATTTGAAAGTGAGTGTGATGGTGTTTTAAGCGAATGGTGCTGGGTTCGGTTCCCGCAATGAGCATTAACTTTGAGGTACAGGTAAATCCAACTGACGAGTCCCAAAATAGGACGAAACGCGCGTCCTTGATTCCACTGTCAGCCACTATCTATCTTCGCTTATCAGCTATTTTAATTTTTATTGATCACTCAAGGTATTCGATATATCATAGTTTTATCTACACAGAAAATCACTGAACATGAACAATAGGATAGAGAAATCAATTGTTAGAAAGAAATAATTTGAAGTTACATTATAATCAGATAATAAGTGAGAGTATGTATTTTGTATCCAGTTTTTTAATGTTTCCTTTTTCATTGAAATCAGATTCTAGTTTGAAAGCCCAACATTTACATACATGAAAATGCAAGCTATCGATGGTGTCTATATTCAATTGTCTTTACTTGAATCATCATGCTACTCGAACAGACTGAGTAATTCATGTCCAAACACCTCCTCCTCTGTGTGATAACTAAATTTTTTTCCTAAAAACCATTAGTAACATGGATAAGAAAATGCCACATATACTATGCTCGACACCAATGTGTTGTGGATGCGTACTAGTGAGAAATCCTATACCAAGAAGTAGCGCTTCAGTCCTTCTTGGCTTTTTGGATTTCTTTAACTGAAATCTGTTTGTAGTATGCAACTACATAATTTGACAATCCTCACAAACTGTTCATGAACAGTGCACATTGTGTTTGTGATTAGATTCCTCCGATAGTCAAACTGTTGTCACATCAATACTCTAAAACGTGGATGTGTTAAAAAAGAATTATCTCCTTATATATCCAGGATAATTTGATATGTACATTAGTTAGGTAAAGTGAGCTGACTGCCACTCAAGAAACCATGTATACATGAATGTAATCAATTTTCCATGGTGATCTAGCTTCAACTGATTCATGATCTCAACTATTGAAATTATTACAATCTCCACAAAACCCCTTCTCAGTCAGAAACAACGTGGAACTTCGTAAGTACGTACATCAGTTCGAGTTGCCATACCACATTAGCACACAGATTCAGTTGTCGTCTCAAATCCCGTAGTGGCAGAGTAGTGAAAGTATAAGTAGTGACAGGAAACGTTAAGGTTTGATGTTATTTAAGGAGTATAGTCCAGTGAAACAGATTTGGAAATGGAAAAAATAGGGACATGAAGAATTCAGAAGATTAGAGTTTGAGAGAACACAAAGAGTGGATGCACCTGCGTCATTGCAAACGATTTTGAGCCATGTCATTCAAAGTCTTCAACCATCGGTGGCTATCATCTCGCGGTCCCCAATCAGGTAGTCTACATCTACCAACATGACTCAGTCCACTTGTCAGTGACTTCATGGATTTGTGCCATGTTTTGGTCTGGCTGCCCCTAGCTTTCTACCAACCTATTCCTACACCACAAAACATCGCACGTCGTGGCAGTCGGTGGTCTGGCATGCGCAACACATGTCCCAGCCATCTCAACTGATTAAGTTTCACTACTTCACCAATTGATTTGCCATCCTTACCTAGTACCCGTTTCATAACAACTGCATTACTTACTCGGTGGTCCCAGGATATACGAGAAATGCTTCGAAGACACCTATGATCAAATACTAGTAACGTACGAATATACTCTACTCTTACCGGCCATGTTTCACTACTATTAAGTAGGACGGAACGAACTGCTGCGCAGTAAACTCATCTTTTGGTTACTAGACGGATATCTCGCCTACGCCACAAATGACGCAAGTTGGCAAAAGCTAGTCGAGCCTTCTGTATCCGTACTGAGATTTCGTCACACACCAGACCACAAGAGCTGATGAGACTTCCAAGATAAGTGAAGCGGTCGACACACTCAACAACTTCACTCCCTATCACTAGTTCGGGTGCCGATGCAACCCAATCCTGAAGCAACATTTTGCATTTCGAGGGAGAAAATCGTATGCCGAACATGCCTGCATTGTTGCTTAGAGTGGTCAGCAGACTCTGCATTTTGCCAGCGTCTTCACCAAATAGAACTATGTCATCGGCGAATTCTAAGTCAACAAGTGGATCTCCCGGTAGAAGTTCAACTCCTGGAAATTTAGATGAGGAAAGTGTTATTTCTAAAAGTACGTCAACGGCAAAGTTAAACAAGAATGGAGAGAGTACAAAACCCCTTTTGATATTAACCAACATATGCTTACTAGTGACTGGCTTCAAGAGGTATTTCCTGGAGTTCTAGTGAGAAGCAGTGACCAGTGGAGTTCAACCGGGTCTGTTGTAAGATAGTAACTCACCGATGACAATGATGGATGTGTCGTTCAATTCCGTGGATTACTTGAAGTTAGATATTAACATCGTTGGATGAGGGCTCAGTGGTCTAGAGGTTAGGCGCTCGCGTGTGAGATCAGTAGGTCTTGGGTTCGAATCTCGCGAGGGGTCGTGGATGCACATATAGAACGAAACGGCCGTCCAGGGCCTCCAGGTTTTCCATGGTGGTCTGGATTCAAATGACTCATGATCTCAACTATTGTATTACTTATTATTTGGAAGCTAAAGATACTTTCTAGCTTCAAGTACATAATGTCCTGCCCTTGATAGTGGATGTTTATTGTTGAGGTATTCCAAAATGATATGAAGTAACTGTTTCCTTGTCTCCAGACAGTATCAGTCAGTCTATTATAAAAACTGTCTTCATAAGTAAATGAGAATTAACGTTTGAATCTTTAATTGAAATAATTAAAAACTAAATACTTTTACCATTGTGAAATAACACTTTACAGTTTAATCCAGAATAAAAAGAATCATCTACTTTATGACGTGTAAAAAAAGGTACATGAAGATAATTATCCGTATAAGGTTGTTGGAGATTGTTGACTTTTAATTGATATCATGAACCGATTAATGTTAGAGAACCATTGAAATCATGAAAGCATTAGATGGCCGTTTCGTCCTAGTGAGTGGCTCCTTAACAATGAGCATCGACGACCCTGCACACGGGAATCAAAACCAGGCCCTTTGGTTTCGCGTGAACGCCTAACCTCTAGACCACTAAGTTGGCTGGCATCTGATGATGTTAATCCTTTACTTCATCCAATCCACGGTATTACACTGTTGAGAAAATCCATACTAAAACGAAACAGCTGTCCAGTGCTTCCAGGTTTTCAATAGTGATCTAACATTGATCTATTCATGATATCAATTTAAACAATTTATCCGGCAGACACATAGTCTACCTGTCAGTGATTTCATGAATTTGTGTCATGCTTTTGGTTTGGCCGCCTCTACCTTTTTTCCAACCTACTCTTATATCATAAAACATCGCAAGTCGATGCAGTCAGTGGTTAGGCACATGTCCCAACCATCCCAACTGATGAAGTTTCACTACTTCCTCAATTGATTTGTCATCCTTACATAGTACCCATTTCCTAAATACACAAAGCTATCAAGTTAGAAAAAAACATCGATCAATTATAGTCTTGAATACTAACCGAGAAATACAAATCATTAGAAAAATTAATAAGATTATCATCATTATTAAAACTAATTGAGAAAACCCACATGTATATTGGTCATGAATTCACATAGTAACTAAAATGAATGAATGAATGAATTAGCAACCAATTTAACAAATTATGGGAACCAATAAAAAAAAAAAATATTTAAAAAATAACAAATTGAAACAATACATGGAATAATGTGTTCGTATTTCGAATCCATATACAAATGAATAACGATAACACAGTAACAATAAAAATAACATAGAATTAATTCACTTTAACTTTTCGTATTGAATATTGTTGTTGGTCAATTGTAGAAATAGATGATATATTCCAATAATAAACTAATTGACCCATTAATATGTAATTACATAGACTAGCTAATATACATGAGATAATCATTAAATGATCACCAGTTTCTTGAATTGATGTAAATATACGTGCAGTTGAACCTAAAGCAAATAGGAACAATGTAATAGCTGATAATTGACCTGTACTCCCATTACAATAATTTGTCCATATTTGAGCAATCTGGAAAGAAAAAAAAACAGAAAATTATAAGGACCCTGACAATTTTAATAGTTGATATCATGAGTCAATTGAAGCTAGATTACCATGGAAAACCTGTAAGTACTACTTGACGGATGTTTCGTCCTACTGTGAGACTTCTCAGCAGTGTTTCCAGGATTTCCATGGTGGTCTAGATTCAAATGATTCATGATCTCAATTATTAAAACTACTATAATATCCACAAAACTTTGACAATTGTTTAGAATTTTATCGACAAAACAAAAAAGGCGCGTAAGTATATCCCAACAAATACATATACACAAGTGAAAAGATTCAAATTGTCACATTTTGAGGAGACTGGATGATTATCCCAAGTTTTTTGGATTTGATGCTTATCATCAAGATATGTTTACAAACGGAATTGAATGAACACTCACCAGGATCCTCACGCTGGTCGCACTACCATTAGCAGGGTCGTATGCCAACATGGTTAGTTTTATTAGCCTCCCAATTCTCTCAAATGGCTACGTGCATACAACCACTACCAGGTAAGTCCTAATCACTGCCTTCTCACGGCATTACTGTTGTTTACGAAATTGAGAGGATGAAAAGCGAATGTTCGTCGCTTTGACCGGGTCGGTGAGTATGAAGGATTCATCTAGGCGAGTTGGGAAACCCTCATTCCAAACCAATGGTGCACATAGGCTGGCTCCAGTATTCTGAGGGGAACAAATGGTGTATGAACCAATTATTGATCACTGACTACCATGTAACTGCATGTCCTAACGTTGCTCCACTGCCTTGTGAATCAGACCTTTAGGTCAAGGACCCGAGGATTGGCCCCCTAAGAAAACCATCTGTTTCGGTTTGGGCACCCGGGTAGTATTTGAGCCCTCACACAAAATCGAATGATTTATGTGGCGCATGTGTATTTGGTGCCTCCTTGTACCAATGTTCATGTGTTCAAATAAAAAGAGAAAAAAAAAAATTCATAATAGAAAAATGAATATATCCAATAATTAAATAACTAACTACCTTAGATGATAACATAATTGGAAGATTAACTGTTTGAAATAGTATCAATATTGATAATGGAAGTGTTGGAGACAAAAGAACAGCTACACATGCCATATAAGCACAAGAGAATAGGACAGCTTTAATATGTGAATATGTCCAAGTTATTGCCATAACAGCCAAGAGGAAATCTTGTATACCTAGAAAGACTCCTTCTCCATAAGCACTAAACAAGTAAACAATCAATTAATACAATTCATAAACCGCATGAAAGTTAGTGTTTATTACGGTTTTTAGACAATAGACATAATAATATGAAAATTAATATTATCATGTGATCAGAATTCAATTGGTTTCCAATTACCGACTATCTCTAAGCAACTTGAACACGAAATCGACACAGTGAGGTTGATAAGGTTATAGACAAACTAAAACAAGGAACAATAGAGGGCTCAGATGGATTAACTCCGATCTTTAAGGATGTTGGTTCAGTTTCATCAGCTAAGCTGACTGAGCTACTTAGCTATAGTTTGGAGGCTGTATGTAATCATCTGACCGATCTCGACTGTTGTTCACTCCAATTTCTAAGAAAGGACCGAAATATCCCTGTAGAAACTGCAGAGGAAGCAGTTTGACTAATATATTATGTAAAATACTAGTCTCTATAATCATCAGACGCATAACTAAGGTTAGGGAAGATCAACCACAGGAAAACCAGACTGGTTTCAGACCTCGACGTAAATGTGCTAACGAAATACTTATTCTTTAAGTTTTATAAAATATGAATACTTTCAGACGCCCGACTATAGTTGTATTTCTTGAGCTTAAGGTAACATTCAACTCTGTTGACCGAGAGGTTTTATGGAAATGTTTGTCATTGAGAAGAGTACTATTGATGTATACCAACTTCGTGTATGCTCTCTACTCAGGCATCACTGGTTGAGTCGAAGCTTACGGTGAACCGTTATCAGAACCTTAAACTTCAAGTGATGTTCATCAGAGCTCCCCACTATCCCCATTTTTATTTAATTTTGTCGATGTCCTCCTAGAAATAGCACTTTTTCACCTAACTTTGAGATCCGTTTTTCTCCCTCTAAGTGAAAAATGCTGTTTCAGGGCTGGTCTGTGTCAACACCTGAATTGATTATAGGGATTGACGTAGTTGAACATTTTGATCATTTCATTTACCTTGGAAGCTTCATAAGTCTTGTTGGGCAGGACGGTACATCTACTTACTGAAGAAAATAAACAGAAGTAGGTGAATTGAGGTTCGGAACTGAAAATTAGTGGTTGAAATTAGGATGCCCTAACCACTAAACGATTGCTTCAAGGTTCTAAACAGTCAATGGTTGAATAGATTGATGCCACATCTCTTGGCAACTTTTACTATTCTTCCTACTGATTCCTACTTTAGGTAATACTGCTCATCGATGAAGGTAATGGCTGGGTATAGATACTATGTCTCAATCAACTTGAACGTAGGCCACAAGTGACTATGTAGCTCTTCTCAAAAATCCTAAAAATATATTTGATGTATTGGTCCTTATCGTCTCCGTTGTAATAACCGATGCATTGAATGTATTTTCAGGATTTGTGAACAAAAATACATAGTTAATCGTGATTACTAACAGTATCTTGACTTACTATTCACTCAGCTCAACTTTCAGATTCATACTTTCCCATTGATCATTTCTTGATGGAACTGTGTGAAATTTGTACAAACGTATCAGTCAGTCAGTCAGCTGCAACGTAGGACCAGGCACGTATATGCATCGGTCCAAGTTGCCATACCACATTAGCACAACAAGATGAACACCGGATTCATAGAAGTAGTTAATTCAGTGGTGGTAATATATAGAAGAGTGTGTATAAGGAGATAGTACAGGAAGATAGAATTAGTTCCTAGAAAGAAAGATTTGAAGTGATTTTGATCTCTTAGTTTGAAGGAAGACAGAGAGTGTATACTTTGACGCCATTGTGATCGATTCTGAGCCATGTCACCAAGAATCTCCAACTATTGGTTACGATAGTCACGCGGACCCCAACCAAGCAGTCTGCATCTACCAACATGGCTCAGACCAGAAGTTAGTGACTTCAAGCACTGATGCCACGTTTTGGTTTGGCCGCCCCTAACTTTCTTCCAATCATCCCTAACACCGGTTAGCATTGCGCGCCGTGGTAATCGGTGTTCAGGCATACGCAGCACGTGGCCCAACCATCTCAGTACAAACGTATGAATTTGTCGAATTCTACATTAATACTAGAAGGGCGTTTTGTGGATATTATAGTAATTTCAATAGTTGAGATCATGAGTTAACTGAAGCTAAACCACCATGGAAAACCTGGAAGCACTGCTTGACGGCCGTTTCGCCCTACTGTGGGACTCCTCAGTAGTGCACATCCACGATCCCACCCTCCGCGAGATTCTAAGCCAGGACCTATCAGTTTCGCGCGCGAGCGCGTAACCTCTAGACTACTGAGCCGGCATCCAAAGGTGTTAATGTCTAACTTCAACTAATCCACGAAATTTAGAGACATATCCACTATTGTCATCAATGAGTTACTATCTCACAACAGATTCGGTTGAACTCTACATTATTCAAACTAGTCAATGAATATGAAATAATATACATTCAATGAAATTTTATATAAAGAAAAATAACTGTTATATTTATTTACCTGAATGGAAATCCATTAGCAAATGAATAAGCGCTTACAGATGTTAAAGAGATCATTTCAAGTATAATTGAAAGTATACTCAAACCAAATGCATTTTTACATTTTGCAACTTTTATTACTTGTGGAATTTTAACTTTTCATAAACTACAATTACTGACTACAAAGAATTGAAACTACTTACCAAGTGAAGAGCCAATAATTATTCCATATCCTAATAATTTACTAATAGTTGCTTTAAAACATGGACCTAAACAGAATAGTAGATTAATTGGGTTTTTTTTTCGAAAGATTACCATCAAATAAATCTCCTTCTTTTGTAAACTTATAAAAGCATTCTTTAGAGATTATAGGACTGATTAAATCTTCTAAAGCCATACTTCATATGTAATAAAATAATTGAAGAGATAGTTTAGGAAACTCTTTCAATCGATTTCTGTTTATATGGAAAATTAGAGAAAGCTAAAAGGAAATAGGAAAAAAATAAAAGATCGGTTGAATAAACAACATTTTAAAACAAGTAAAAATCTAATAGCAAACCTAGATCTGCTGTTTCTGAACAATTTAGGAATTTATTATTTATTTAAACACAAACATTGATACAAGGAGGCACCTAATACACATACGCCACACATACCTCATTTGATATGTGTGAGGGCTGTGACACTAGCCGGGTGCCCAAACCGAAACAGATGGTTTTCTTAGGGGGCCAATCCTCGGGTCCTTGACCTAAAGGTCTGATTCACAAGGCAGTGGAGCAACGTTAGGACATGCAGTTACATGGTAGTCAGTGATCAATAATTGGTTCATACACCATTTGTTCCCCTCAGAATACTGGAGCCAGCCTATGTGCACCATTGGTTTGGAATGAGGGTTTCCCAACTCGCCTAGATGAATCCTTCATACTCACCGACCCGGTCAAAGCGACGAACATTCGCTTTTCATCCTCTCAATTTCGTAAACAACAGTAATGCCGTGAGAAGGCAGTGATTAGGACTTACCTGGTAGTGGTTGTATGCACGTAGCCATGTGAGAGAATTGGGAGAGGGAGAGCTGACTCTCCCCACTCTCGACCATATCAGGGCATTTGGCCTCAGTGACAAATTCTTTATCTCAAATTTACGTGACCTTACAAATAGCTTTACTCAGTTGCTCGATTAGTTATGCAAAAAATTAGTTATCGGTTTCTCTACTTAAAAAGGTTGGCATTTGTTTTTTCCCCTCTCAATGATAATGGTGTTCAGTTCACATAATAGAACACAAATATTGCAAATATTAAATACCCACCATTTTGTTGGCACTGAATCATCTCATCTTACTTTTTGGTAGTTGTTACTTATCTGAATTGCCTTATTGGATCATTTTAACAGAAGCTAGGAGCTTCTCTTACAAGTTTAGATTTGGTGTCATAAATTAGACACTTCAGGATGTTTAAGCAATTTAAAATGGGAAGTCGGAATTTGTTTCATGTTTTCTAACATGTACGAGACATCTTAGAATGTATGTCTTAACTGAATGCATACTATTTTTTTTAATTTGAATATAGTATGTCTGGTATACAGTTTTATGCAGCAGTTGGATTACCGAAATAAACGGTAATATCTGATCACCTAAAATACAAGTCAAAATTTGTATACTAACACCCTAAATTCGGTCTCCATGATATCTATTGAGATTTACCCCAAATAAAAGCGTTAACCATACAAATCATCCTGATTACATTAACTGGAAGTTACAAAGAGTTAATATGTCTAATGAGAATCTGGTTCTTTTAGAACATGTAAACAATAGCCGATGGAAATAGTGTGGTTAGTAAATATACACTGTACAGAAAAATCTCTGCAAAAAGAGAACGAGATATGTATTACTTCAATGAAAATATTTTGTTATTTCATGTTACCCCCAAATGCCCTGGTATGGTCGAGAGTGGGGAGAGTCAGCTCTCCCTCTCCCAATTCTCTCACATGGCTACGTGCATACAACCACTACCAGGTAAGTCCTAATCACTGCCTTCTCACGGCATTACTGTTGTTTACGAAATTGAGAGGATGAAAAGCGAATGTTCGTCGCTTTGACCGGGTCGGTGAGTATGAAGGATTCATCTAGGCGAGTTGGGAAACCCTCATTCCAAACCAATGGTGCACATAGGCTGGCTCCACTATTCTGAGGGGAACAAATGGTGTATGAACCAATTATTGATCACTGACTACCATGTAACTGCATGTCCTAACGTTGCTCCACTGCCTTGTGAATCAGACCTTTAGGTCAAGGACCCGAGGATTGGCCCCCTAAGAAAACCATCTGTTTCGGTTTGGGCACCCGGCTAGTGTCACAGCCCTCACACATACCAAATGAGGTATGTGTGGCGCATATGTATTTAGTGCCTCCTTGTACTAATATCTATGTGTTAAAATAAATAAACCCATCATGGATGATGATAGTTCGAAAACAGTATGTTATTGTTGGGCTTTTAAGTAAGCAATACCAGAAAATTAAATGGAATGACATGTCTACGTTCCCTCGATTTGAAACTGTGCATGTCGTATCTCTTTGCATATATAATGATATACCTTTAGAGGAATGGATCGTTTTCTCCTACTACTACGCTAGTCCTATTTTCCCATAGAAAAAACAAGAGTTTTGTAGTGTTGTATCTTAATATCAGTAAACAGCTTGTTATTATTAGCTTCAGATAGTTGATTGGGAAATTTCGTTCTCTAAATACTCTGAATAAATACATAGAAACACATGACCAACCTGTAATACATAGAAGCTGAAGTTGAGGTATATAGTGCTACGTTTAACACATAAATTTGTTTATTTTTCCGATACACAAATGGTTTGAAAACAGAGGAACATTTGAAATGGTAGGGGAATAGGAAAACGACCACTCCTATGCTGTCAGCTAGAACAGTGATTACACAACCAAAGTGAAGAATTGTTGTGGCTCTTATACTTATGTTTAATAATCCTTTAAAATTTTAGATGATGGCGAAAAGAGTGATGGGTGATAACGCAAAAACGTCCATGACATTCATCATTATCTGTCACAAAACCTGAAGTAGCCAGCCACTTTACACTAATTGGTACTACCAGCAAAAATGCTCTTCGGATGTGCCGATTTTACAATAGCATACGAAAACCATTTCTGTTATTTTTAGTCATCAGGTGCACTAACGTCATAATTTTTATCTCCAAGTTTAACGGAACGAGATCTTGAAGAACTTAACTACATCCCAATCCAAGGTTATTTTCATGACATGAAGGATGAGCTCATGAGAGCTACCATAGAAGAAGGGACAAGGTAACGTTCTTCAGAGGTAACTTATTTCTATTTCTTAGGCGCACGGTACTACTTTAGCAAACATCACTGTAAGTTGGACCTTGTACTGTTACGTTTTAATATTAAACATATTAAAGTATAGTTTCACTACAAAGACTAATTTTTATTAGATTTTAGAACTCACTGAACAATACTTATGGTTCGTAGTGAGCATACATCATATATCAACTCTCGCACTTCTATGTGTTATATGGCGGTAACTTAGACGTACATGGGAAGTCCATATGATTTTGCACTTCGTTTATAGTAGGACTTCATTATTTATACATAATTTTCTTGATAAACTACGAATTTGCCAATTACTTTCTCAAGATTTCCTATTACAAGAATCATACTTATCACTTACAGCAAGAATATGTCGGCACCTAAACGACCTAAATATTCTTGTGAACCTTGGTTAAAATTTCTGCAAATAGATGTCTTCTAATACATGTATCATACTTTAAATTTGGTCAATTGTGTGGAAAAGTTGGTGTCCTTGTGGAAGTAACGGCTAACAGTGGATAGTTTCGAGTGTGCTTATCTACCAGAAATTTATGATGTGAAACAGACACTTTTGCGATAATGTAGGTAAACTAGATGGTGTAAATCCCGAGACATTGCTCCGCCAGGGACACATATAATGGAAAAGTATTACAATTTCCTACTATGGTAGGAAGCAATGCACTTCCACCTTATTCACGCCAAATTTTCTTAGGAAATGTGGTCATCATTTCCCTCGTGTTCTGTTACAGTTCCCCGCTATGTTTGCTTCGGAAGGCCGCAGTTTTACCTTTATCATGAAAAAACGATACTGAAATCTAAACACGACAATATGGTCGAGAGAATAATCTATTCGATTCTAATCCAGCACTAAGCTATCCGTACGAAAAGTCAAGCTAGAACTAAGCCATGAAACATGTTATAACTGCAGACTGACTAGGTGGCTTACGTGTAACGCAAAAAACAGATAACCGCTACACAAACTACAAACTTTCTGTTATCAGTCTTCAGTAGTACGGACAGAAGGTCTATTGGCCCATATTAATCCTTACAATTTGTAGCACTGTGGAAGTCCAATCTCACTTTAAACGAATCAGCAGGTGCTGATATTACGTGTTTTTGATAGAGAATTTCAGTAATTCACTACTCAGTATGAGTAACCATGTTCGGTTTCTGAACTTTTGTAGAATTTTCTCCGAAATCATCAGTCCTAGATGGAAGGAAAAGACAAAGCATGTTAATGCTAAGATCTTCGTTCAGTATACGACTAGCCAATATTAGGCCATCCTGTAATCTGAAGTAAGATAACGGAAATAAGTAAAAGGGTCTCAGTCTGTCTCCATAGTATAGGTCAGAGAGACCCTTTGCCGTTTCGGTCCCTCGTCGCTCGACTCGTTCTAACATGTGCACATCATACTCTAAACATGAACTCACTGCTCAAATCTCATATTCCAAATGCGGCCTCACAAAATTCCGGTATAATACCCTAAACATTTCTTCGTCAAAGCATTGAGAAGACTTACAAATAGCCCACAAGACCCTGGAGCCTTTGGCTGCTGTAGCCTTGCAGTTGCCCACAGTTTCGCAGTCGTTGCTTATTATGACTCCTAGATCCGTGTAGTCCACTACTTAAGGTAACACGACTCCATATACTGTGTAGTGAGAAGAATCTTAGTACTTATTTATTCGCATCATTACACTTGTCAGGGTTAACTTTCAATACCCAACTGTCCATCCATTCAGCCAATGAATTTGTATCATCCCGTATTATTTTTCTGTTTGATATGTTGTGTATGGAACTCCAAATCATTATGTCATCTTCAAAGTGTAGAAAAGATGGCTTTGCCACAATTGATAGATCATTTTCATGAAGCAAATATGAAGAAGACCGATAATCGTACCTTGGGAAGCTCCATTTTTTACATATTCCCACTCTAGGAAAGCCTCATTTACTCGTATCCGTTGTCTCACATCATTGAGATAGACACTTATCCCGTTTATGATTTTATACTGGATCCCGAGACCCTCCAGTTTTGATTTAAGACCCAAATGA